TTCATTTCAACCCACTTTGTTAAGCATAAATGTTTCTCAGCCTTCATCCTATACAAATATCTGTTAAATGCTATGCAACCAACAAAGTTCATGCCACAAGAACTAATATTTTTGCAACAATTTTTTGACTTGAATAACATACATATACCATATTTTACCTACTTGTTTTTAACAAAAACCAAACTTTCTAATTTTTATAAGTGTTTTTGCCTTTCAGTTATAAGGAGAATGCTATGAAATTATCAGAAATTCACCATGACCAGCCAGTGAAGCCCCTGGATCGAGCGGTCTTCTGGATCGAGTTCGTCATGCGCCACGGAGGAGCCCAGCACCTGCGGGCTGCAGTCCACGACCTCAGCTGGGCCCAGTACCACTCCCTGGATGTGATTGGCTTCCTGCTGGCCTTCATGGCAGCTGTGATGCTCATCCTCACAAAGTGCTGTCTGTTCTGTTGCCGGAAGTTTGCTACCCCAAGGAAGAAGGGGAAGCAGGAGTAGCTGGGTCCTGGAACTGGAGCTGGGATCCATAAAACACCTTTTCCTTCGCAGCAGGGAAGCAATTACAATCAAATTGGTCCAGGTTAACACAGAACTGATTGTCTTTCTTGGTAACAAGCGTCACCATCAATCAAGTCCCACAACAAATATTCTCCAGTTTAAGAAATGATTTCAAAAAAAAAAAAAAAGGTTTCATATATATAGGAGAGTGCGTGTGTGTGTGTGTATTAAAATGTGGCTGTTAAGTGAATTATAGGAATTGTTTGTAATAGAATATTCCTTACCAGTGTTTGACACATATTTAAAGGGAAACAGAACCAATGCAGTGCCAGAGTCAATAATGTTGTTTTATGCTTAGAAACTTGAATGAATTTACATTAGAGCTATCCTACAATACTTGACAAAAGATTGGGATCCATTCTGTAGTGCAAACTACTACAAATAACAAACAAAAAAAGACAAATAGTACAATGTGATAACTTATAGAGAATATTAACAGACAATTCAAAGTAAAAATGGTCAGTACATATAAAAGATGATAAGATCATTGATGCTTAGGAAGACAGAAATTATGTCCATAATTTGTTATTCTAGAGAAGATGTGTAACCTATTACAACTTGAGAAAACTATTTTTGAGAGAGTATAATTGGAATTATTTTTTCGTATGAAATTTGAATACACAGTCTGATGCTGAATTTCTGTATCTAGAAATCCTGGGCTTCTGAGCACTTTTGTAAACAGGATGAGCCATCCATGAACACACATGCCTCAGATGGCTGAGGCCTACATTCGAAAATCAGAAAGTGAGCGTATCAACAAACTCATAGGCCATTTGATGGAATTGGAAAAAGAACAATCTAAGCCTAAATCTAGCAGAAGAAAAGAAATATCCAAAATTAAATCAGAGATTAATGAAATTGAAAACAAAAGAGTTATTCAGAAAATTAACGAAACAAGGCATTGCTTTTGTGAAAAAATTAATAAAATAGATAAACCTTTGTCCAGACTAACTTAGAAATAAAAAAGTAAAATCTCTAGTAACCTCAATCAGAAATGATAAAGGGGAAATAACAACTGATGCCACAGAGATAGAAGAGATTATCTCTGAATACTACCAGAAACTTTATGCCCAGAAATTTGACAATGTGAAGGAAATGGATCAATATTTGAAATCATACCCTCTCCCTAGACTTACCCCGGATGAAATAGATCTCCTGAATAGACCAATTTCAAGCACTGAGATTAAAGAAACAATAAAAAATCTTCCAACAAAAAAATGCCCTGGTCCAGATGGCTTCACACCTGAATTCTATCAAACTTTCAAGGAAGAGCTTACTCCTATACTGCAGAAATTATTCCAAAAGATTGAAAAGGAAGGAATCTTCCCCAACACGTTCTATGAAGCAAACATCACCTTGATTCCAAAACCAGGTAAAGACCCAACTAAAAAGGAGAATTTCAAACCAATTTCACTTATGAATACAGATGCAAAAATTCTCAATAAAATTTTAGCCAATAGATTACAGCTTATCATCAAAAAGTTATACATTAAGATCAAGTAGGCTTCATCCCTGGGATGCAAGGCTGGTTTAATATACGCAAATCTGTAAATGTTATCCACCATATCAACAGAAGTAAAACAAAAGACTACATGATCATTTCAATAAATGCTGAAAAAGCATTTGACAAAATTCAGCATCATTTTTTAATTATAACATTGAGGATTATAGGCATAGGTGGTACATTTCTTAAATTGATCGAAGCTGTTTATGACAAACCCACAGTGAGTATTTTACTGAACAGAGTAAAACTGAAAGCTTTTCCTCTTAGAACTGGAACCAGACAAGATTGTCCTCTGTCATCATTACTATTTAATATTGTGCTGGAAGTTTTAGCCAATACAAATAGACAAGACAAGAAAATAAAGGGTATCCAAATGGGAGCAGATGAGGTTAAACTCTCCCTTTTTGCTGACGATATGATCTTATACCTGTAGGACCCCAAAGACTCAACCACTAGACTCTTGGAAGTCATCAAAAAATACAGTAATGTTGCAGGATATAAAATCAACATCCACAAGTCACTTGCCTTTGTATACGCCAACAATAGCCAAGAGAAGAGGTTAATTAAGGATACAACTCCCTTCACCATAGTCTCAAAGAAAATGAAATACTTAGGAGTATACCTTATAAAAGAGGTGAAGGACCTCTATAAAGAAAATTATGAAACTATAAGAAAGGAAATAGCAGAGGACATCAATAAATGGAGAAACATACCATGTTCATGGCTGGGAAGAATCAACATTTTAAAATGTCTATACTTCCCAGAATAATTTACCGATTCAATGCCATCCCTATTAAAATACCAACATCTTACTTTCAAGATTTAGAAAAAATGATTCTGTGTTTCATATGGAATCAGAAAAAACCCCATATAGCTAAGGCAGTCCTTAGTAATAAAAACAAAGCTGGGGGTATTGCTTTACCAGATTTTAGGCT